GGACAGAAGGCTAAATTGGAAGACAATTTTTGCGTTTCTAAACAAAAACATTTTAGTGCAGATGTAGCCATAGACGAGCCCCTTCCAGAGCTCCACCCCTATCCTCCTTTGGCCTAATCTGTCCTCTGCACCAGAAATACTTTCATTGCTTTCTCTGCACCCCATCATACTGTATAAGGGGGTTCGGCAGATACATTAGCCCTGCTAAACTCGTGCTAATCATGACTCAGCTGGCCAGCACGGATTAGAGGAACGAGTGTTGAATGATAAAAATAGCATCTGGAGTTTCCCGTAGGGCTATGTAAGGATAGTGACCAGGAGTCATAAGCAAGCATACAACTAAACTACAAATTCAGAAGTGCAATTAAGGTTTAAACATGTACAAAAACAAATACTGACATATAGGCATAAGGATCTATCCATTCAGATAAAAGTTCCTCCTTCCATTATTGATGAAATTTCAGGGATAATTATTAATTAACATAATTGTGTATTCTTAATGTCCATCAGTCCTCATTTGATGCAAATGTTTTCCATGCCTTGAATACAAGATCAGTTCTTCCGTTTGACAGTGCAAAGTCACGGATTAAAAGATCAAGAGTACTTGGAGACACAGCCTAGATAAGAGCAGAACCCCCATATGCTCTATATGCTGAAAAGGTTTGAATAAGGTTTTCTTCTTGTATTTTGTTAATATATTCTTCTATGAAAGAATCACTGGCTTGTCAGAGATGTGACAGATGGGATCTGCAAGGGGTGCCATTAGTTTGTACTAAACATTATTCCCAGAATGTGGATACAGGGTGAAGCTGTGGTTTAACAACATGAAAATAAAAATAGAGAAAACTTCTCCTCCTGCAGAGAGAATTTCCATTTCTCGCTCAGAACATTACAGTGAACCCATCTAGTGTAAGAACACAACAGCATGTTCGCATGGCGAGCAAGTCAGAGTCTCATGAGAAGTGACAGATGTGTGACAGTGTTCTCGCTTTACAAACAGCATCACAATGCAACAAAATGTTCAGTGTCCAATGGATGGATCATTGCCTTTGTGAACAGGCCAGGTTTGAGCTCTAATGCCTGCGTGTTTTACAAGGCTTTTGCTGAAGCACCAAACCAGGCTTTCACTGCAGTCCTCTCCTTCATATGCCACACATCAACAGAATGGTGGAAAGACAATCCTTTGAGGAGCATTCAATTTTGCATCACTGATTTTGAGATATTTAGTAATTCATACTGTTCGGGTGGTTCTGGCTCCTCCAAATAGTCACTTTTATGTAAAGAGACAGCGTAAATGAAATAAAGCAACAGATTTAATATATAATTTAATACGAAAAGGCATACAGTGCAAAACACTTCGTAAGATGGGACGGCTTGAGTTTCAAACCCAGAAAAGACATCAAGCAAAACACACACACAAAAAAAAAAAACTACTCAACTTATGTTCAGAGCAAGTAACTGGATACTGCAATAAAAAGCCAAAGTGTGACACTATTCCAAATTTAAAGCAAAACAAAACAAAAAGAATGCAGGTAAGTGCTGATTTTATAGGGCCTGTAACATGACCGCTTCAAGAGGCCTCAAACAGCCACAAACAGATAGGTAGGTGACCAAGATCAAAACCGTACCTCCATCTGCTGTGAATTAAGCTAATAACACTGCCATCAGTTCCGGTGTTTTACTCAAAGACTCTTATAAGCTGATTTTATATGAAAAATAGTAGTTTTACTTCGCAAACGCCACTCACATTTAGATAAGCAAGGGTTACTATAGCGATCTGCAGTATATGATTATGCAGCTGGAAAACACTGCAGGGAAAAGTATTACCCACATGCCCATAATTATTGACATGTTATGCTATCTTTGTTGTGGCTCCTGTGCAGTTTATACATTTCCATCCACAGTTAATACATAATTAAAGAGCACTCAGAACTGTATTCAGGCTATGGATACACACACAGAGGAGTAACAACATAAACAAAACGGTTTTCATTTACCCCTTTCAATTTCCCGCTGTCTTGTGGAAACACAGTAACCATTTTTTTTCCTAAAGGTAAATTCTGTATTAAACTCCTGCTAGAGGGCCCAGCAGTTTAACCATGGCAATAAGTCACGGTAATAAGCTTCTGGCTATCAGTTTCCAGTAACCAATCTCACTATTAGGTGTGTTCTCCAAAGCTAACTTTACAATCGCTGCCACCACCATTCAGATTATAGCAACAGGAAGCATTAAATAATAATGACAGGGAAGAGACAATAAAGTTCAATTAGACATGTCGAGCTGCATTTACTTTACAGTTACTGAACCCCTATTGGCTGTTCAGAAGCTTTGCGTCTAGCAGATTTGGAAATACCAGCTCACTTTAAATGCTCCGAAATGCCCCACAAACTCAAAGACAACTGACCCACTGGTGTACAAAGCTCAGAAGGTATATGTAGCAGTAAGTATATTTTAAATTCTCTCAGTTTGGGGTGCACATTAAAGACCTAAAATGTTGAGGTTGACTGTATTTAGGTCTCGTTATAATTACTGCAATGGATCAATTATAGTCAAAACAAATGTTGAATTTAAAAACCTTTCATTGGTGATGCATGAACAGAACATGGAGAGGAAAAAAAGATCAAAGCACAATCAACATCCCCGTTACTTAACTGGTGAAGAAGCTAAAACTACTGTAATGCAGACGTGGGCATCGTACGTAGCCAAAGGTCCCTCGACTGACAAAGTGAGTGTGAGCGGTTGGAAAGTGCTATTACCATAAACAACAAGGGCTCACATCCAAGCTTAGCGCGCCACAGGAGAAGGGAGCGCTCTAAAGCCATGAACCTCCTCTGGCATTACTCATGCAGGGTCCTGATAACGAGGGAGAACTGAGCACTGCCCTACATAAATAACACAAAATCTCACAGTTAATTTATCACTCAAGCTTAAAGGAGAAATTAATCTGTCAAACTGCCAGATGGCTCACAGAACTCAATGCAGATCACTGGACTAGAACTAAAATAACACAGCAATATTCCCCTCCGGTCTCCAACAAAGCAAAACAGCACTGTACTTTTATACATTGCTTTAAATATGGGATGGACAGCATGCTGGGATTGTGGGGAGCACTGCTAACTTCTCTAACCTCAGGGTTGCGGGTTCAAATCCCACCCGTGCCCTGTATGTGTGGACTTTGCACATTCTCCCCATGTTATCCGGTTATGTAAATGGACATCTCCAAATTGCATGAGCGGGTGTTTTGTGGGCCGGCAACCTGTGTAGGATATCCCCAGACTCATGCCTAATTCTGCCTGGGACGGACACCAGGACGTCCCATTGATTACGCCCAGAATAAGCAGTTGGAAGATGGATGGATGCATTTGAAAATCGAAATCAATTTTACTTATGACATTTTCAGCAAGAGATTAACTCCTTAATAATATAACTACATGTACTTTTGTCATTGTAGTTACAATTTTTCTGTCATAGACCGATAGCAGGGGCAGATATAAGGAACGGCCTTGCCCCCCCCAGTAAACACACAGCCCCCCCCCCCCCCATTGCCACCCCAATACAATCACTGAGCCTAGTCTGGCCACCCCACGGTAGGAGGTCTGGCTACACCCCCGACTGATGGGAATTGTTTTTCACTGAAGCAGCCCAGCCATTATAAGCAGTCAGACACGTCACTAGTATCTTACCAGCGGCTGATTCCTGTTGTATTGTTCTCAGTATATTTATGATGCTTTTTTGTAATCCCTAAAACATTAAAGATTTGCCTCGAAGTCCTTAAGTCACCGTGCTGAATCGACAGCTTGACCTACCTCCCTTCCCAAATGTCACCATTAGATCCCCACCCTGATGGAATGCGTTATATTTCATTACAGAGAAGGTCTCAGAAAAAGGATGTGTATATTAGCTGATATTGTATATTATGTGTTAAAAAGTAAATAAGCCAGTTACACTACCTCCAGGCAACAAGACCAGACCTCAGTGCCAAATCTTTTACATAATCATGAACTGAAAACGGTCATCAAATATTAAAATCAATGTTGTTACTGTAAAACCAGCAAAATCTGCTTCTGTTTATAACTGCATATAATCTAGAGCAATGAAAATTCCACCTTGCTGACATGCCGCGTTAGTGTTATCCACACCGGATGCCGTGCTTAAAATGGCTTTAAAACTGGGAGCCCATCTATATAATAACCTATTTTAAGTGCAGCAGACTACAATGACTATTCTGTTTACTCTTGCAAGGATTTCCTTTTTGAAATAGTCCTCACAGGTGGCCTTGAACTAAAAAAAATTGCTCCATTGTGTTAATGAAAAACATCCACACAATAATTTTTACTTCCACTTAACATTCAGTTTGTATTAAAAATGCACCACAGGGAATGGGAGTAAGTCTACATGCAGAACAGGGAATCTTTCATATATTGTTTATCCTAGGAATTTCCTTAGGTGGGAAACATGTCTACTTTTGACAAAAACATATTTATCTGATACTAAAAGAGCTCCACTTGGTAAGACATCAAAGACTCTACAATTTAAATGTTTCTCAAAAAAAATAAAATAATAAGATGCACAGAAACCTCTCAGTTATGGGCTGTTGCACAATTTCTCAAAGATTTTTGTGAAGAACCATATGACAGTAACCATTAAATGTTTTATGGATAAAGATTTTAGACGTATGAAAAACACGTTTTGATGTCCAAGATGTCATACTGTATCATATATCACAAGGCACCTTTACAAAAAATTTATTAATTTCAAAAGTACTGCACCAACCATTCCGTAGTATACTCAGGAAGAGCATTTTGACATTTACCGTCACTGCATTGTGCATCTTCCACTATATATGTCAATAATAAGCAAATGTCACATAGGCTGTTTTATTTGTCATGTGCCTCTATTTCTGAACACAGATCCCCACAGGGACACCTTGAGGAAAACCGCTGAAAAGCAGCTTGAGTACCATGATCACATTTTAACCTTGATTTCTGTACCCACTAACCTTTTGAGCAGATCCTAAGGCTGTCCTTCAGACTTTGGAGACCATATGAATTGTGGACCCTAAAAACAAACAAAAAAAATGTTATTGTAATGCTGCTGGAGTCCTGCTCAAGACCCAAGACCCAGAAGACCAAAACGCTGACCCAAAAGTCCAGAAGACCAAAAAAACATCCTGAAGGCACAAAGGCTTTTGAAGGCCTCATTCGCGATGGGACAAAATAATGAATCAAAGGACACAACTGTTATAATAAAGGTCAGTGAGGACAGTGGGACGTTAGTGGGGGGGAGGGGGGGAAAGATAACAGGAAAAGTGTGGGTTTTCTCCAGTAATCACGCAAAAAAAGAATCATGAGTGTCAAAGCAGGGAAAAAATCAGAGTGTAGGCCACGCAGTAATGAATCAGTGTGTACATTCCATAGATTTCCCCACTGCACACATCAAGTCCACTGAGATTTATATCAAACTCAGTGTACTCAGCATGCTCACAGATGCGCGTTTCTGCCCACACATCTAACGTTCCTGAAAAGGAGAGCTCTCCCCGTTTGCTCAGGGAGACGCTGCCGCCATATTCTTAGAAGGGTCACAGAGCGTGCAGGTTACCTCGCAGCTTTAATGAAACGTGGCTGCTTTTACGACGGCCTGTGGGATGGGAAGGTGGAGTTGTGGCAACGCTTGGTGCACGCAAGCCCTTCATCATCAGGAGCATTTCAGCAGACGCAAATTATCAGAGGAGATCATCTAAAATGAAGAGGCACCGTCTTTTGAAATAAGCAGGTGAAGATTGCAGGCTCGGCATTTACAAAATCAAAGGGAATGTTGGGATGAAGGCAGGCCTGCAATATTCAGGGCACAACACAGGAACCCAGGAAGATCTGAGGCCGGCAGAGGTGGAAAGTTCAGGTCCAGAAAGTACAAATGCAGACCAAGGTTTTGTTTCAACCAACCAGTTTAGTATAAAGAGTCAGAGTCACAGAGTACTGAACTGGTTGGTTGAAACAAAACCTTGGTCTAAATTAGTACTTTCTGGCCCTAAAATTTTCCACCTCTGGATGCAGATCCATGTAGTTCAAGTGTCCCAACAAGCAGTCAAACAACCAAAAAGTACAGCAACCTTAAAAAACAGCTTTTAAAATGACGACAAAAACTCAAATAAAACAACCACAGGCCTTTCTCGGAGTCATCACAGAAAACAGTTCTTAATTACACACATACAATGTTCAGAAAAAAAAGCCATTGTTGAAAATCCAGTTTGGATTTTCATGTCCCCTGAATCTATAAATCCTGCCTGACCAAGAGCTGGAGAGCCTTTTGCAACACCAGGAAATGGCCTAATTAGGCTCTGCAGGGTGGCGGTCAAAGCTAACACACATCTTGGAGCCAACAAAATCCAGAGTAAAACCTTAGGTGGTCCTCAACGAAATCTAACTCTGTGAGTCTTTGTTATTCCGCTCTTCAGACCGCGGGACCCTGGCAGATACGCATCAGCTTTGATTTTCCAGGGGTTAGGGCACTGCATAGCTGGCTCATTACTCTCAGCCCAGCGGACCGGTGACAGAGAACGCACATAAGCAGGACGTAAAGAAAACAGCAGATGCCCACGTGAACCACAGGCCTTCGCCAGAGGATTATAGCCCCAGCAGCCTTCTCAAATACTTCATAAGAGGCGCAACAAAAGCAAACACTTCACTCTCAAAACGAACCATGTGACACCCATAAAGACACCATCCCACTGATCCATCGTTGTCCCACATCCAGTATGTTTTTTTTATTCTACTCCAGTTAAATCCAAAATGCTACATGCCGAATATGACTTTGAATTCAGTTGCCTGAGGCATGAGGTATTTTTCCATGTCTTCATCATGAAAAAACTCAAACGCATGGCAGTTTATGAAGTCAATGCAATGGATTAACTGAAAATTCCAAATACATTTTACTCCACGAGAAAACAATTATATTGGCCATCCCAACAAAAACAGCTATTGCCCTTCACAATGCAGTTCCCATGGTTCTATATCAGGACACCCTTAAAACCTATAGCTGTCTACCTCATTCTAGTACAAAGAATCATGTTTCAGCTCTGTGTCATGGAAAAGGCAATAAGGGGCAGTTCAGACACATAATAAACTTTATGTCTTTATAGAATGTTTGCTCAATAACAGCCAGAGACTGTTCACGATGGGTCTGAACTAGAGAAGCATCGATTGCAAATTTTCTTGGCCGATTCCAATTTCCGATTTTTGTGTGACCTGCCAATTTTGCTGATTCTGATTTTCCTTCTAACTACCATAATTGACAGCATTTACAAACAAAAAATCAACTTTTCTTTAATGCAAAATTATATTTTCATAATAGTGAAAACTGTTAAACTTTGGTTTCCCCCAAACTGCACTAAGGGTCTTCTCTCACTTGAACACATCTCAAAATGAAAGTGCTCTGTGACTAGAAAGAGCTACAAATAACAATTAACTGAAAATGAGTTACTGTGCACCCAACTTTATCTGACATTTTTTACTTTACCAAACAAGCAGGTGCAACAGATTTAAATAACAAATGTCAGTTACTTATGTCATTTTCCATTATGTTTAAATTCACCAGATAACATGACACTGACCTTTTTCTCTTTTTACTCGTCTTAAAATAAAGTCTGCAGGTTACAAACCTCTGAATAAAACTGAAGTGTACTATAGTCTTCCAAATAATAACAGATGCAGGGTAATATTATTAATACCAACATCACATGTTATGCATGTGCAATTCTTACATCACTACTAAGCTAGATTAAGATCAGGCTATTTCATACCTTCATACTGTATGGACATTATAGCACATGGGGTTAAAGTTTCACTAAAACATTTTTGCTCCATCATAGGAAAAAAAGCCTTGGATAGCTTTGCAATTTTAATGGTTGTTCCTTTTCAAGATTATCTAGTATACGTTTAATAATCAGTTTAAAGTGCACCTCCGATGTTTCACCATGTTTTCACAGTGGTTCCACCACAGTTTACATTGACTTTACATATATTACAAATTGCAGTCTTTGTGTTGTCTTCACTTACAGTGAAGAACTTCCACGCTAATGACATGTTAGTATGTGGCTGTGAGTGTGCAGGTGGTTGTGAGGCTTTCGCCTGCGCCGTTGACCATATTCCATGTGTAAAATGAACCAGTTTGGTACTGGAAATACATGAGACTGACTGGCTGGTCTCCGGTCCAGGCCGAGCACGCTGAAAATTGGTGCTTGATTGGTGCATCTCTAGTATTTACGGTCTGTACACCAACGGCATGTAAACAAGCTACAGGCCACACACATGACCTGTGGCTGTCGTCTCTCCGTGGATGATCTGGAGAGCAACTAAACAATACAATGCTTTCTGAAACTAAATAAAAGCAAACAGTTTAAACACTTAAATGAGGTCAGTGAACTATCTATCCACCCATTTTCTGAAACCGCTTGTCCGATTCAGGGTTGTGGGGTGTGGAACCTATTGGCGTAAGGTGGGGAACAACCCATTGCAGAGCGAGCACACACACACACACACACACAGGCTTAAGGTCAACGGGGTAACTCCAATTAGCCTCAACATGTTTTTGGACTGTGGGGGAAAAACCAGAGTACCCAGAGAAAACATCAGGACGACACGGGGAGAAGATGTAAACCCCACAGACACACAGACTCCTGGCAGAGACTTGAACCCTAGTCCCTGAGGAGAGGCAACAGTGTTAACCACTGCACCACCATGCTGCCCCCGGTCAGGGAGCCATTATACCCTAATAAGACCCAGTTATATCCCGGTGGACTATAGTTGAAACACATTGTTACTATAGCCTGTGACTTTCAACAACTGCCGTCATGTAGCATATTTAAGAGAAGATCTAAAATACTGTCCCAATACAGCACCAGGGTTACGGCTTTGACCCGACGGAGTTCCCACGCTATCTTGCTGTTTGTGTGGGTTTCCCTCTAGTTCTCCGCTTTACTCTGTGCATATGGTGTGGTGCACTGCCATCGGGCAAAGGGCTTACCCACATGCCCTGTGTTTCCTGGATCGGCTCCAGGTTCACTGCAACCCCACAGTAACCAATGGGAAGAGAGGAGCGGGCAAATGACAAAGCAGCCACTGCGAATTCATGTCCCACAGGCCCTAGTGGTTTTAATGGTAAACTACAATGGGCAGGTACAGGTCTTTGGGTGGGAGAAAATCCCATACAAAAAGAGAGTGACTGTCTATATATTGGTAGAAAGTAGGAACAACAGTACAATGGAATCCTTAGCTGAAGTGAATTGGGGTTTGAATAGCAGATTTAGTCAGATGAGCTGATTATTATTCTGCACCTTTTCCACTTTAAGCAGCAGCTGTAGGAGGGGTGGAATCCTCCAATGGTGACATTTTGTGATATTTAAGCTTCGTCTCCAACCGCAAAGACTTCGCCTTTCAATCTTATGATGCTCATAATACGAAACTATTCAGGAGGGGTGCAGTGCAGGGGCTCCTTGCGTCAGCTGATTTTTCAAATGTGGGATTTTGGCCAGACAGTCTTTGCTGGACCGTGCCCTGACCGCGCGGAGTCACGCCAGACATTGTGTTTCAGCTCTTAGGTCACCCACTGCTGCTTCACCTCACAGCTGAACTGCATGGTACGTGCTCCCTGGGTCAAAGGGATGGCCTCTGGCTGGAAAAGGGGGAGGGGGAGAGAAAGACAAACAGAGGGACAGAGGGAGAGAGAGAGAGGGAGCAAGACAGAGAGAGAGAGAAAGACAAACAGAGAGAGAGAGGGAGATAGGGCATTCCTCCTGAGGAGGACAGATCCTTCACCGAACCACATCTGGTCCCCAGCAGTTTGGCCCCCACAACACCCCCCCAGTCCTCCCCTAAGCAGCAGGACAGTAATGAGAAGCATTTGAGATGCCATTCGGCAGAGGATGGGCTGAGGCAATCGGCAGGCTGTCACTCATGCGTAACAAACAAAAACCCAACAATGCAAACCGATCATTAAAATTAATTCTGTGGTAAGAACAAATGGTAGCTTTACATAAATCGGGTGAAATGTAGGATATTTAA